GGGAAATTTCATACAGCATTGGGGGGAATATAAAATCACATAGCCACTTTGGAAAACAGTCTTGACAATTCTTCAGTTTCAGAGTTACCATATGACATAGTGATTCTGTGTTCATGCAGGAACTTGTACATGAATTCATGATATCCAAAAAATGGAGATAATCCACATATCATGAAATGATAAACAAAAAGTGGTATATATAAACAATGGGATACTATTTGGCAATAAAAAGGAATGATGTATTATTACATGCTATAACATGAAATGAACTTGAAAACACACCAAGTAAAATAAATTAATTATGAAAGACCACATATTGTGTGATTCCTTTGATATGAAATGTCCAGAAAAGGCAAATTTAGAGATGAGAAAGTAGTTTAGTGTTTGTTTAGGACTAGAGGTAATAGGAAAAATGGAGTGATTGCTAATAGATGGACACATTTGGGCGACAGATGGTAAAATTATATTGTGATAATTGCAAACTTATGTGACTACATTAAGAAAAGTATACTGATTGTAATCTTTATTTTTTTTTAATTTTATTTTTTTTAAAGAATTTTGAAAGAAGGGGGAGAGAGAGAGAGACAGAGAATTTTAATATTGATTTTTTTTTTTAGTTATCGGCGGACACAACATCTTTGTTTGCATGTGGTGCTGAGGATCGAACCCGGGCCGCACGCATGCCAGGCGAGCACGCTACCGCTTGAGCCACATCCCCAGCCCATGATTGTAATCTTTAAATGTGAATTTTATCTCAAGCCATTTAAACTTTTTCAAAAACAATTAGAGTAGTCAAGGGCTGTGACAGTAGCTCAGTGGCAGAGCATTTGCCTAGCATGTGTGAGGCACTGGGTTTGATCCTCAGCACCACATAAAAATAAACAAATAAAATAAAGGCATTCTGTTAATCTACAACTAAATAATAATAATAATAATAATAATAATAATAATTAGAGTAGTTAAAATAAGAGCATATTTTCCAGCTGAATGTGGCAGCATATGCCTATAACCCCAGTGGCTTGGGAGGCTGAGGTAGGAGGATTGTAAGTTCAGAGCCAGCCTCAGCAACTTACTTAGGCCCTAAGCAACTTAATGAGACCCTGTCTCAAAATAAAAAAATAAAAAGGACTGGGAATGTGGTTCAGTTGGTAGGCATCTTGGGGTCAATCTATGGTACCAAAAAAGAAAAAAAAGGGCATATTTTCCAGTGTAATAATATTTGTAATTGAAATATGTTACTTTGTTTAGCCTTTATCAACCAAATAATACTGTTTTTCTCTACAAAAAAAAATACATCCCCTCCCAACATGTGAGTATAATATTCAGATTATACTCAGGAGTAGAACAAACAATTATTTTTTTTTCAGTTAAATTTTTAATGACTATGCTTATTTTGATGGTATAGATTCTAAAATTAGAGCAATATAAGAATCTAACATGGCTGTTTTGTAAGGATACATTATCATCAGTGCAGTGTGCATATACTAAAACCTTTAACAAGAAAATAAGGCTTGAATAAATGTTAGTCAGCTTTATATTACTTCAACAAAGTAATTGAGTCAAAATGAAAGTGTATTTAGTTCATAGTTGTGTAGGTTCAAAGTCCAAGATCAGATAGGGTGAGGGCCCATTGGTTTGACCTGTGGTGAGGGTAGCAGCTGGGCAGCACATTGTGGTGGGGAGCTTCTGAAGGGTTGAACAGTCACATCCTGACAGGAGCAGAGACAGAGTACCAGCAGGCGAGGCTTTCTCTTTTGATAACAGTGGTCCTGTGAGAGCTCACAGGGTTGCAGTTGAACTATTTTACATCCCCCTTGACCTAAGGAACTCCCATTAGTTCCCACCTCTCAAAAGTTCCTCAACATCCCACAGTGCTACCTTGGGACTGAACCTGTAATCATAGGGGACTTCAAACCATGTTCAAATCACAGCAATATGTGTTGATAGCAATATGAAGAAGCAATCTTGTAAAGACAGCAATTCCCTGCAGAATTCCCCAATAACATAACTTACAGTCACTGATTCTAAAATTCATAAGTAAGAATGAAAATAAGAAAAAATAATAAAAAGCAACAACAAATAAGTAAACGACTAAAAAAAAGTGAAGATTCATAATAATGGTCTCATTCCTCCAAAAAGCTTATTTAATAAAGTAGAGGACTTGCTCCCATTGGCTTACAGTTATCAGAGAGCCATGATAATGAAAACTGTGACTGGTGCGGAAGGAGGCAGGTATGTGTGTGGAATAAGAGAATACCCAGAAACTGTCTTGCTTACACATGGGAACCTGCTCTGTGTCAGCAAGTACAGAATAACACAGCGTGTCAAAGAATAATAATTACAAAATCAACACATGGAAAGATTTGAGGAAATCGTCAAGATTGTGAAACTGGTTCTAAGAATATTTGGGCATCTGAAGAGAAAGCATTGGAATAAGGTTTGTTAGATCCCAAATTAGTTTCTCTCTGTCTCAGCAATAAAAATATACCCCCCTCGGACAGATTATTTGCATATCTACCAGACCAAAATTATCTGTAAGTTAACATCTCATTTTACAGAGTATAATTCTTAATGTAAATAGCAAGTCAGAGGTAAATCCCTTAGAGAACAAAATATTTCTTGGGTGAGCCTGTCAGGCAGTGCTCTTTGAGAGGACATGCAGTCTGACTTTTGTCTTCTTTCTAATCTAACAGGAAGCTGAAGGATTAGTTATTAATAGTCTATCTGGAGGAGGGTTAAATTTAGCTCACAGTGTACACAAAAATGGATTCCAGATATACTGCATGTTCTTCATTTTCTCTGTTTGTCCTGAAACATTTCTTATAAAAAATAAAATGGGAAAAATAGGTTCTTGATGAAATACCATACTGTAGTTTAAATGAATGAGTTAGATCTGTATCTAAACAAACTGTGAGTGTGCTGAATGTGAGTGGTCCATCCAGGTGCACCTGACTGACCTGCAGAGGGTATAGCTTTAGAAGCAGGTGCTGCGCCACAGTGAGTTGCAGTACATTAGTGCATCTGTGGAGATAAATGCCTATACTTTGCTTGTTTGTTGAGAGTCCTGTTTGAGGAACATAAGAATGAAAACTAAGTCCACACAGTGACTGAGACAGGTGGAGTAATTCTGGCATATTCAGCACCCATAGCCATATGTCTGTGACTCTCCTGGGGGCTTCTCCTGTGAGTCGTGTGTGTGCTGCAGAGTTCCAGCCTTTGCTTGAATTAGCTTCTTGTCACTGTGAGATGATACTTGTGAAAGACAAAGGGGGAGGGTTTATTTTGGTTTACAATTTCAGAGGTTTCAGTTCATGGTCAGCTGATGTCATTGTTTCTAGGCCTGTGGTGAGGGAGTAGTACATCATGGTGGAAAGCTGTGGCAGAGCATAGCTCCCCTCTTGGAGGCCAGGAAGGAGAGAGAGAAAGAGAGAAGGGCCAAGGACAAGATAATAGTCCCCAAGGGCATACCCCAAGGACCCATTCTCTTCAACAAGGTCCTGCCTCCCATAGTTCTCTCTACCTTCCAAATAGTCCATTCAGCTATGAATCCATTGATGGATTAATCCATTGATGAAGTCTCATGATCCAATCACTTCCAGAGTTCTCATGATCCAATCACTTCCCTAAAGCCTGCCTCTGAACATTGCTGCATCATAGACCAAGTCTTCAACAAAGGAGCCTTGGGGGAAACAGTCCAGATCAAAATCATAACACTTCTCTACAGTCTTACTTATTTACATGCTCTCTGTTTTCTACTAGTAAAAAGTTTTTGTGTTGGAGAATAAGCTTTCAAACTACATTTACCTTCATCTGTGGATCTTTCTTCCCTCCCCGACCCCACATACAACTACCCTTTTAAGAAGATCCTTGACTTATGTATAAAATTTAGGGAATTTGATATGTCTAGGATAAGATTTATATCGAATATAAAATATTATAGGGAATTGGAAAATGTGAAAGGTGGGTTATAATCATACTCCACTTTTACTGAGGGCATTTTACATCTTAAAATTAAAAAAAAAAAAAGATTCCATAAAGTTAGCACAGTCAGTAGTCCTTTGTTCTGCCCCTTTTGTTGATAACTGTAGTTCTTCTTATTGGAATGTGTGCTATTAGGTGAGTGGAAGCTGAAAGAGATTGGCATCAATTATAATATAGGACAGGGCTTATTCTGAAACTTTCTGTAAGTTTCCTTCTCTGAGTGGACCTGTCCCCTAGTTGTATCTACAGGGTATCTCTGGATCAATAAAGTTTAAGATTTTGATTTTGATTGAGTATTGGTCTTCACCTGTGTGTTCCTTCAGCTTGCTATGGTATATATAGAATGGGAAATTAGACAATTTATTAAAAATATAATGAGTAGGGCTGGGGATGTGGCTCAAGCGGTAGCACGCTCGCCTGGCATGCGTGCGGCCCAGGTTAGATCCTCAGCACCACATACAAAAAGAAAACAAAAACAAAAACCAAAGATGTTGTCCACCGGAAACTAAAAAATAAATATTAAAAAATTCTCTAAAAAAATATAATGAGTAGATTTACTTGGGAAAAGATTTAGGAGGGTATATACAAGATACAGTGCGGTCTTTGAGTAGAAAGCTGTGAGGTTTCAATTTATCTTTTGTGCATTAGAATAAATTGAAAAATAAGATCAGTCTGTTGGGGCCATATTTCAGGAATATTCAATGCATGGCAGTAGATTTGTGTTACTAGATTTTCAGAAAGTGATGAGAATGGGGGGCTGGGGATGTGGCTCAAGCGGTAGTGCGCTCGCCTGGCATGCGTGCGGCCCGGGTTCGATCCTCAGCACCACATACAAACAAAGATGTTGTGCCCGCCGATAACTAAAAAATAAATATTAAAAATTAAAAAAAAAAAAGTGATGAGAATGGAAGTGATATGTACAAAATAATTGAAAGGCTTACATTGTGAACTTGAATTCTTATAGACTTTTCTCACAGGACAAAAAAATAAAAACTCACTCTGCCTTTTTAAATTCACAGGTCTCCTCAACCAGATATGGCAACAAGTAGCTTTCACTTTGCATCATATGATACCAAACGGGCATCCAGACAGCTTGGAACATCAAGTTCGAGCAGGTTAGAAGAGTGTGTGGGCATTCTTGGGGGATCAGGGAAGAAATAGTCCAACCTTTAGATAGTATAATTCTGATATTCCCGAGGTGCCTTGTGTTCAACAAACCAGTGAGGTTGGGAGGGTCTTAGGTAATTACAGTGCCATTTTACAAATTAGAGAAGAGGATATGTAACTGTTGAATGACTCAGTGTTATAGAAAAGCCAAAAAGCTAAATTCAACTTCTGGGGGCACAACTTCCTTTTGAGTTTTTTTTTTAATCTTTCAAAATTTTAATGATTATTTTCTATTATAAAATAATATAACCACATTGCCAAAATTGGGAAAGGTGGAGGAAATGAGAAACATCAACTATAATTGCAGCCACTATAATAGACTATCAGACTTTGCTATATTTCATTCCAGTCTTTTCCTAGCCATATGCTTCTTGATATAATTATAACATTACCAGAAGTTTATTTTATTCTATTTTGAGATAAATTCTCACTAGGTATTGATCCTCCTGCCTCAGCCTCCCAAGTAGCTGATATTATAGGTGGACACCACTGTGCTTGGGCAGCAATTTCTCTTAATATGTGGAAGGCGTTGAAGAGTGGGAAAAAAGTTGAGAATAATAAATGTCTTTAAGGCATTCATTTCCAACATTACTTAAAAATTTTTTTTTTTTTTAGTTGTAGATGGTGCTAAGGATTGAACACAATGCCTCACACGTGCAAGGCGAGTGTGCTACCACTGAGCCACAACCCCAGACCCCCCACATTACTTTTTTGTGTGTGTGGTGCAGTGGATCAAACCCAGGAACTTGTGTGTGTGAGGCAAGCACTCTACCAACTGAGCTATATCCCCAGCCTCCCACATTACTTTTTTATTCTATATGTCCCCATGGAAATCTGTTTGTTTTTTCCCCAGAAATAAAATTTTCTCTCTCATAGTTTTCTTCCAATCTTTTTGATAGTTTCCTAGGTAAGTACTGTATCACCAATGATAACACTGAGTTTGAAAGCTGTAGTAAAATAAATAAAAATTACTTAAGGCAGTAATGGATAAGAGTTGGACTTTGCACAGAAAGCACTGTGCTGGATCTGTAGACTGGGAATCTTTTAGCTTGTATATAGTGTTGAAGTCATGAACTACAAATGCTATTAAGAGAAAGCAAAACAAAAAAGAAAGGACTGGGTGGAGGAAGGAACTATAAGACACAGACAGTAAAGGATTGCTGAGGGAACGAAGAGTTCAAGCAGGAGCTACAGAGATAGTTGCCATAGGACAGGCAAGGAATTTGTGGAAGGGGTGAGTTCTGGAATCTTGTCAGCAGAGAATTCTGCATGGGTTTAGGCTGAAAAGTGTCCTTTGCATTTTGTAGTCAGTTTATCAGATACCTTTATCTTGGAGGGAATTTAGAAAGTCGGGACAGTGCCAGCCTGTAGCAGCTGAAGATGTCAACTTTTTTTTTTTAAGTTGTTAATGGACCTTTATTTTTTATTTATTTATATGTGGTGCTGAGAATCAAACCCAGTTCCTCATACATGCTAGGCAAGTGCTGTACCTCTGAGCTACAACCCTATCCTAGATGTCAACTTTTTTTTGAAGCTTTTGCCTATGAAAAGGATTTCTGTTGCTAAAACAAATACTTGGGATAATAAACTTATAAAGAGAAAAGTTCAGGCAGCAAAAGAGAGTGAGGAAGGAGCTGAAATTCTCACAATCCCCTTAAAAGGCACCCTTAATTACCTACAGATTCTCACTAGGCTCTACCTCTTCCCAGCAGCACCTCCCTGGGAACCAGTCCTTTAACACATGGGCCTTAGGGGGACATTTAAGATCCTAACTACACAGAGAAGTTGTGTGGTAGGAGAGAGCCAAGATTGAAGGAAAGTTATCTTTCTTGCTGGATTTGTTTTAAATAAGTAAATCTGTGCATGTCTCTGAGTTGGGAAGTGGTCAGAGAAAGAGTTAAAAGATAGATGTAAAGGAAGAAGTGAAGGTGAAATATAAGAAATAGTTTTGAGGTGTTTCCATTGTAGGATCAATGTTTGCAAAAAAAAAAAAAAACAACACCACAAATAATGAAAATTCCCACACTGGCTTTTAATCAATAGGCCTTCTAATGCACCAATAAAAGCAAGCACTTATAAACACATTGTGGAGCAGCTAAAAAGACACTTTCAAAGTAGTGTGAGGCTTCAGACTTCAATTATGTACATATGGTACTTATATATTTAGGCTGCACAGAAAATAACATTGCCTTACCTCATGGTACTTTTCACTCCACAGATACCTGTTTGCTTCTCAACACAAGGTTGTGAGGCAGGCAGTGGGGGAGTTTCAGTTTGTCATTTATTAAAATGTAAAGGTACATACCCAAGGTGCCCTTGATGTAAAGGTACATATCCTTGGTTCTATAGCCGGCAGTGGACAGCTATTGCAACTTGTCACTCAATTTTCTCATTTCTGGGCAACACACCTTTCAGGAACCCATTTGCCTTCTCATGATAAGAAGAAAACTTACAGATTTACTTAAAAAATTTTTTTTTTTTTTTTAAATATGAAATGAGAGTTTTTAAAGGGAAAGGAGGACCCATAGAATTGGGATCCTAAGAGTTTTTTTTTTTTTTTTTGGTAGTGCTGGGGATTGCTTGCCTCATGTGCACAAGGCCCTGAGTTCAATCCCCAGCACCACCAAAAAAAATTTTGGGGGAAGGACTCAGTAGTATATTTTAGTAAATTCTCCAGGTGAGTCTAATGCATGATGAATTTTGAGGACCATGAAATCAAAGCAGGCAGATATTCAGAATTCAGTAATGAAGTGACAGGCATCTCAATTCAGGTGATGGCAGTACATATGGAGAGGAAAATGTGTCCCTAAGAGATGTTGAGAGGAGTCCTGGTTAGTGAACACATGGTACCACTAGTGTTGTGTGTGTTTGCAGGGGCAGGGTGTATTGATTCCAGGTGAATCTTGTAATCACTACTTAGAGGGGCTGTGTTTACTGTGTTTGGAGGTAGTGATCTGGTTTTTAATCTGTCTAAGCTGGGACAGGTATAAGGTGTCCTTCCAGATGACAGAGGCCAGCTGAGATGCAGAGGTGTTGTTTTTTTTGGCAGGGAGCCCGTTTCCTTGTGACAAAGGATAAAGGATGAGTTGTAACCTTATAGAGAAATGGTATGAGTAAGATGAAGAGATAAGGGAGAAGTAAAACTGGAAAGCCTAGTAGTTAAAGGGAAGGGTTGATTAGAAAAGGAGTAGAGATTTCTGAGGCAATGCATGTTCTTTGGTTCTTAGAATAAAATCCATTCTCGCTGCCTCTGTTGTTTCTGGCTTTTGTCTTTTATGCACTCATTTTCTCCTGTTCTTGATCTTACTCTCTACATTTTCTGTTTAGAATCCTTTCTCTGTTTCTAACTTAAATATTCCCATGGCTGATTCCATTGTACAGCATTTGGATGTTGCCTTCTTGGAGAGCCTTCTGTGTCTCTCTCTCTCTCTCTCTCTCTCTCACACACACACACACACCATTCTCTAAACTAGGTCCTATCCCAAACTCCTTATCCCAATTTGAGATGATCTTAGTTATTGGTCTGCTTATGTAAGTCTGCCTTCCTTTCTCCCAGAGAGCCAGGATTCACTGTGTCTTGTTCATTGCTGTATTGCCAGTGCTGAGTACCTGGCACATACTTCATAAGTGTTCATTGAATGAATTCTAGGTAAACATTTGATGGGGCAGTAGGGGTAGGTGATGGGGAGAAAATAATTCTGCAGCCACTAGGCAACATAGGAGCTAACTTGGACTGTGTGATAGAGATGCAAGCGAATAAATCCAAGGTACATTCAGAAGGTAACACTGACACGGTTTGGTGGTGGATTGCTATGAGAGAGTCAAATAACTTTCTTTTAAAAAATCTTGCTGTGAGAGACTTGTGAACACCATAGTGTAATTTCATCTTCTCATTCTCTGGAAACTTAAGGGCACATCAATTCTTAGCTCTTCAGCTACCCCTCCATCAAGGGCTGGTCTCCTTTCTGCTTTGCCCCAGAAGGAAGGTGCTTTAAGTTCTAAGTATGAGGAGGCTTTTTTATTTCTACCCAGAACAGGAACCTATCCACTCAAGTATATTTACTGAGCATGTTCTAGGTACCACCAAAGACACTGATGATGCAGAAATGACTAAAACAGTCTCCTTGCACTTGCATCTTATGTCCACAAATACTACATTCACAAGATCCTGGACTAAGTGGTACAGAAGGAAAACTGGAGTATGGGGTGGGCTCAGCCAAGCCACTCTCTGTTGGTGGTGTATTAGGTGAGACGTGAATAACAAGAAGGAATCATGAGCTGGGACCAGTATATGCCTATAATCACAGTGGTTTAGGAGGCTGAAGCAGGAAGATTGCAAATTCAAGGCTTGCCTCAGTGATTTAGTGAGGCCCTAAGCAATTTAGTGAGACCTTGTCTTAAAAAAAAAAAAAAAAAAAAAAGACAAGACTGAGCTCAGTGATGCAGCTCCCCTAGGAGCTCTGATTGCCAATACTGAAAGAAAGAAAAGAAGGAAGGGAAGGGAAGGCAGGAGCAGGAATTTAACCCAGGGGCATTTTACCACTGAGCTACATTCCTAGTCCTTTTTATTTTTTATTTTGAAACAGGGTTTAACTAAATTGCTGAGGGCTTTGCTAATTTGCTGAGGGTGATCTTGAACTTGCAATCTTCCTGTCTCAGACTCCCAAATTGCTGGGATTATTGGTATGTGCCACCACTCCCAGCTCAGGAATTAGGATAGCCATACCAGGAAGAGAAGAGGACCAGTGCCCTTAGCCCTGTCTTCAGGAAAACTGACACCAGCTTTTATATTATATAGTTAAGTGGAGTCAGAAGTATGCAAGGTCAAGCAGTCTTGGTCAAACTGTGTTCTGGTTGGTCCCTATAGGATTGGCGGGTGGGTAGGTGGTGGTTGTCAGAACCTGTAAGAAAGCTACTGTTTCCTGGTTGGGGGGTGGAATTTCCACTCATCACACTGTGTTTATTGATAAGATCTGTTGTTTCTGGAATCCAAAGAGACTCAGAGTAAAGGAGATAGATGCAAAAATGGAGGCAGAGATGCCAAGTTTTTTAAAATCCTGCTTCTAGTTACTCATTGGACTTTTGTAGGTCCAAGTGAATTGTCAGGGTTTTTTTTTTTTGTGTGTGTGTGTGTGCCTACTCTGATCATTATTTGTCAATTAATATCATCCTCAAGGCAGCCTATCAAGTAGGTTGGTGTTTCCCATTTTACACATAAAAAAGTTGAGACTCAGGGATGTAACAGACAAAGTTAGTTTTGGGACTCAGAAAACAGTATTCCAAAGTGTGGCAATTTGATGTGCTGGATGCTTTGAATGAAAGTAGCAGACTCAGAACCAGGGTCTCGCTAACCTTCTCCCACTCTGTCCCTCCTTCTTCTAGAAAGAATGCAATTGCTATGGCATCCACCATTCCCAATAACCTCATTAGTCAAGGAGGATTAACTAGCAGAAAAGAAGGACACCATACTCAGAACCCAGAACTTTGTCTCAGGCTATTCTCTGTTCTTTGGTTCATCTCCCCTAAAAATCATTTACAAGAGGACAGAGGGAGTGTTCCCTTTGCCCCTACACTAGTCAGTTGTAGAGTTAGAATTTCAGTCTGCCTTCTGTCTCCAAAGTTCATACGCATTCCCTGGGAAAGTATGCTAATAATAAAACTGATAAAAATTCTTTGTATTTTTTTTCTTGATCTTTAGTTCATCATCAACCAAAGTGGATCTCAAGAGTGGCCTAGAAGAATGTGCAGTGGCATTGAATTTATTTCTAAGTAACAGATTTACAGATGCCTTAGAATTGCTTCGTCCAGGGTAATTTATTTTTAGATGAAACATTGTTTTATCCATTTCTTTAATGTCATATAGGTTAATTTATGTGTTCCTACCTAAATATTTATAAGCCTATTTGGTTGAGACCCCTTATTGTAGGTCAGTTTTAAAATTTAGTTAAGAAATATGTCTTTTTAAATTTTATCATTAGAAAATTTCTGATTATTTCATATATTTTAATTTCCATATTTAGCTCAAATATTGTCATGTTATGTAGTTTTTTAGGACTTCAATTTTGTTTTATTCAGTGAAATATTTACATGGATGTTTCTTTTAAATATAATTAGAAAAAGATTCATTTGAAATGAGGCAAATAACTAGAATATGCTAATCTCAATGTTAAATTTCAAGATAATATTACTGGGATTCCCTATATATGTGATTAACCAAGTTGAGCAATTTAATTTTAATTAACAGTACCCTTAATTTTTCAAATCATGATTCGCCAATTAGCATCTCAGAAGTTAAGAAGAAATGATAAGATAAATGTTGAGACCACAGGCTAAGGAAAATTGTCAGGGTTGCCTCCAGCTCTTGTCTCAACCTCTGCCTTGCCAATGTTCTTCCCTCCTCCACCCTTCTAGGTGCTTTAGACTTCTTTTTCTGTGTTCTGGCCCTCTACCTCCTTTTGTAGTCTTCTTGTCTTTCCTTCTTTATTTCTCCTCTGTCTCCTTTCTCAGCCTACCTACCTATATTTTTTATTTTTTTATTCAAACAAGTCTTTTTTTCCCCCTTCTTCCATTCACACCTAACTGGTTATAATATAATCTTGTATCCAGTCAAGTTTTATAGTCCGTGATATTTATGCATGCGTCATTGTTAAAAATACTCCCCCGCTTGAACCTTTTTTTTCCTTCTTGGAAGAACATTCAGTTAGAAAAATAATAGGTTTGAAGGCACAGTTAGTGAATAACTTCTGGCTGCTCTTATTCCTTGTAGTTCTTTTTTTTTTTTTTAATATTTGTTTTTTTAGTTGTATCTAAATATCTTTATTTTATTCATTTATTTTTATGTGGTGTTGAGGATCAAACCCAGAGTCTTGCATGTGCAAGGCGAGTGCTCTACTGCTGAGCCATAACCCCAGACCCCTTGTAGTTCTTTTGAACAGCCAGTGGCCTCACTGTTTAGGACAAACTGCAAATTACCAAAGAATTGTTTAGACTATTTATTTCCATGGGGGAAGGGAAAAAAATTAGTGTGGCTTGTATTTGTTTCATATAGCAGCAGGCTGTTGAGCCTTAATATTTAAATTAAAAACAGAACTGTGCATTGGTTTGTTGTTGTTTTGGCTATGCTGGGAATGAACCCAGGGCCTTGCTATTTTAGCAAGCCCTTCACCACTGAGCCACATCCCCAGGCATATGCATTGCTTTTTTTTTTTTTT